ACGAAGTTATTACGAATCTATCACAGCCATCGTCCACATCCGGCTGCACTTTTAAGAAGTTTAATACACGCTCATCATTCCTTTCTTACAGCCGATCAGACAATTACATTCCTCCGAACGAAATATGCTCAGTTTTGAAGCCCTAACGATAAGGCCTAAGGTGCACCACGGCCTGCTGACTGACCCCCTTACCAAATACAGCTCCAACGCGGCTTGCAACGGCACATATAGGGTGACCTTATAGAGGGGCTCCTAAATTACTATACGCGAAAAGATGATTCTTTTGGGAGAGGAGTTTGAAGCTGCAAAACGTTGGAACTTAGAAGTCTTACTGTACTCTTTTACTAGGAATTCCGAAGATCCGTTGCACTGATCACACGCCAAAACAGCTGGAAAACATTTGATTTTTCCTTGAAGAAGATAGTTAAAAAGTTAAAGTGTCGCAGGTTCTCTAAACTACCCAGTACATATTGTTGGTCTAAAAAGGCTGAGTACCCTGCATCGCGATGCTGCAGCGCCTCCGGTACATTAGTACCAAATTGAATGGTGGTATGCATTTTTACGGGACAGTCACGATGAATTCTGAGCTTTACACATGTAATTGGGATATGTTACGATAATATTATGATTATAGCGAGCAGTAGAAAATTCAAATGTCCTTACCGCTCTAATATTTCCACCATTTCTCCGTTTGGCGTTTTTGGTGCCTTGGAACCAGCTTACCGGTTCTTTCGCCATACTCAAGTCACCGTAACGCTTGACGTGAGAATTATTTGTGAGCACCCTCACCCACTTGAATTGAAGATCCAATGATTCATCATTGATGTCTACCTGAACTATCAACCGTGAAAATTGTAGTGACAAATTTTCCGATCATCATGTTGAAGGCAGGGGTTATGACAATTGGCTGTCATTCAAGGTGAGTAAGAATTGAAGCAGAACACCTTTGGCTCGTACATACCCACTGAACGCTCTTGAAAAACAGCAAGTTCCAAGGGAACCTTGTATTAGTTTGCCCTGGGCATTACTGGCAGCATTATCTCTCGCTCTGACTGTCGAACCAGGTGCAGAGGTGAGTACAAATGCATGTTCAAAAATGCGGAATACTTCTCAAAAGGAACGCCACGGCAATAAAAACCCGTTTTTAAAAGCGCCTTCGTATACTATGACTCGGTAAAGGGTACGTCAAGAAAGACAGGACCACGTCGCGACGATCAACGGCCGACACTGTTGACGGCACGCCGTTAGAAGAGCTCGCCGATATCGAGGTGGTGGATCAGCATAGGGGGGTCGATGGTGCAGATCGTAAGTATTACACCTACTAAAACCGCGCAATCTTTTGTGGCGAAGCTGGAGTGATCTAGGTGGGTAGATACTTAAGACTATAACTTCCCCGCGGTATCCATCCCACAAGTCGGCCCCGGGGTTTGCTTTTGAAAAACGTTGATGTATTGCTTGAGTACTGAAAGTCGCACAAACGTATTTAACCATAATCAAGGAAGGCATGGCCGTAATGAACTGCGGTTCAAAGCTGGTCTCCATCGCCAATACGGGAGTATCGAAAATTCTAATCACATTTTCCATACCAGATGACTAAATATCTCATTCATCTAGTCCACTCCCTGACGAATTATCACTGAGAACTCGACAAAAAGAAAAAACGTGTTCCGCTGTCCTGATTCAATTACCTTATATATGAGCGAGTTACGAATAAGATCTCAAAGGGGTTTAGAGTGCTGACGTAAGGTCTCATCGCACTCAGTAGCGAAAAAAGTCAAAGAATCCGTGCAATATAAGCAAAATATTGGGTCGGTGCATAATATCGTAGCGCTCGCATTTGGCAAAAACGTTTAAAGCAAAACCCAAAAGCAAAGCTAAGCATAAAACTGATCAATGATGTTCTTCTCATCATTATTTACGACTTTCGTTCCATTTCGCAAGAAATTACCAGGTTTAGAAATCAAAAAAGGGTACTGAGCCCGTTTCTAGAATCCTCATTATTTTCAATATGTACGACGTGAATTAGATTTGAAATGAAGGGTCGACTGGAGTGGGGTTCAATGATGACGATGGATCCCAAAAACTCCTATTTTATAAGCTTTCTTCTCTATATGGATTTTCGCCCACCTTGATTCTCCAACTTCTGAGCGCCATATCTGAGTACACTTACAGTATAGAAGAAAATGCCAAACATAGTATTGTAGGGCAGAAGAAGTCCTTCCAAATGGTATATGTTTTTCTTGGGTTATACTTGTATTCTCTGATTCGTAGCTCGAAAAAGAAAAACACTACGGTATTATGCACCAACCCAATACTTGACGTGCGACTGCCTTTCATGCAACCATGTGAGCGACGGGGTTGGAGAGGAGTGGAACGTTATTTAGCGAACGTGGGAGAAATTCCTTGATACTTCCTCATGCGAACAAGGCATAGTGTTTCGATTGATAAGCAATAATGAAAGTCTGAAGATACAGCCGATAAATGGACCCGATCTCTCTAAAAGAAAAGCAACAGCATGACCACAGCTTCCTCAATGATCCAATCATCTGAACAAACATCTGAACAATGGGCGTAACGCTTCGGAGCGGAGCGCCTGCGGAGGCAGCCCGTCGCGCAAAGAAAGGCGAGTTCAATCGGACGAGTTCCGCCGCGTACTGTAAGATTTTTGCGTCCCACCAGTTAATGGGGATGTTCCTTGTACGCCCTACATCGCTTCTACGCCGCCTGCGCTCGTTCCGCGACTATGCTTTCTTGGCCGGCGCTAGCGGACTTTTGGGGAGTGCTGCGGAGGTCCTTGCTCGGCAACCACACAGCACCTTTTTGCCGTGAGAGCGCCACACATCGTTTCCCTTGACAGCCAAGTAATTGCTCCGTAAGGCGCAGGTTCTCCCCCTGATGTGAAAATTCCTTATCGTAATCGCTTCCTCCAAAGCACACAGTAGAAGTTATAAGCGCTGTGCTCTTATCAGCGCCTATAGGAATTCCACTAATTTCTTGATAATTCGCCAGCGAGAATTATGAAGAAAGAATAAAGTCACAATACGTAGTCAGAGTCTTCCATCCAATTCACTGAGAACTCATCGCCAAGACAGGGCAGTTCTAGTTCGTTGCCACAGTAAGTTGCATAAGATGACTCGACTTCATTAGCGGCAGTGACAGCATACACTAATTGAATATTGGTTAAACTGGATATTGAGCAAAAAAAAAAACCCACTTTTTTCATGAAACCATCGAATCATCTAAAAACGTACCATTGATGTTGTCCATTAGAAGTTTTCTGAACATAGACCCACTTTCGCATGCTTCCAAATAGAACACCAATTGACGGAATTTTTGATTTCTGTTCATTTCTTTCAAGGCCAAATTCAGCCGCCTCGCCGTCAGCTAAATATTAGAGGCTACTACTATGTAAAACTCATAGCGTTGCAATATGCAGCCTTCCTTAGCACCTTTTTTAGATTCTATCCCACCACAATCGTCTTGGGTTTTTTTTGCTCCCCAACCTTTTAAATAAATTTCAACAAGTTTAAAGTACAATATTAAGTTTTGGTAACAAAATCGTGATCAAGCTTATAATAAAAATGAGTTATTGATTAAACTTGTTTCTATGGCTAAATCACTCAAATAACAATATTCGGTATAAACAATTTTTACCCCCGCAAATAAATATAATTATAAAAAGTAATTCGTAATAAATAAAATAAATAAATAAATATAATTTATAATAAATACCAATAATTCAATAATTCCACTTGGGACACTGGGAACCATAGTCTTTCACCAACGGCACTTTTACTTGCCTTTAGCATATGAATCAAAATACTTGTCAGTACGTCGCTATTTGCGGACAGAAGCTGTTACCAAAGGTACCCGACAGGAGGTCCGTCACGCGGCAAGAAGGCTGAAGCGGACGAATTGCAACGCGACTGTGGTAATTTCGCGACAAGGTAAATCAATTTGCCCCTGTACGTCTTACATTTTGCGCTGCAACTCGTCCGCTGACTCTGCCTTCTTGCCGCGCGACGGGCCTTCTGACATGTACCCCTGGTACCAGATGAGCCCAATCCGAACCCATCGCATCTTTATCCAAAACATTTTCTCCCAAAGGAAATACGGAAATTTTTGAAGTTTATTTCTCTACGCAAACCCTTAATCCTTGTCAAGAATAATTTTGCCCACCTTTTATCTTTTAGCAACGCAACCGATCTCCGTAAAAAACCTGAGTTTGTTGTCTGGTTACGGAAAAAAACTTACGCTGCCTCTCCCGGAATTCGATGACAGTCCACCCCCTCCATGATCAGAGAAGAAGAAAATAAGAGCGCGTGCGTACTTTAGCAAAAATCGAAAAATCACTTCCACGAAAAATCACTCTACATTAATCAGCCCCTTTGGGATGCGAAACTCATTCTGTCAATGAAAATTGGGCCTATACAATGACTAGTAGAGCCAGCCAGTGTAACTAGCGGTGTTTTTATCCTCTTACACAGCCCTCTTATCAATCAATCGATTCTGGATCAATGTAAGGCTGTGGCTAAGAAAACAAACCGAGCCGGCCCCTCGGATCGTACGCGTGGTAAGCAGCGCCTCTTGCCATTTCACCACATCCTCCTGGTACCCGTACTAGGATAATATCCTAGAGAGAAGCTCCAATTTGAATATTGGTTACCTATTGAAGACACGACGGTTTCCGCCTCTGACAGCTTTTGCATCTCCTTTAAGAATGGCCAAAAAGTTTTCAGGAGTGACAGAACCTCCCTGTAATGACACGTTTGATAAGTTCATATAGATACTCTTAAAAAATTTGCTCATGCACTCACGCGGTAGTCAATTGCCAGGCCTTCGTAGACGTCAGGGCCGGTGGGTGAGTTGAAAAGTTTTCCCTTGTACTTATTTCTAGAAGATAACAAATTCAGAAAATCACTCACCTTATTTGTAACTTATTGTACTATTTGTCACCTTTTATTATTTATTAATTTTTTTGTATTTTCCTACGAGTTACCACTTCGCTATAGATTATTCATTATTAGATCTGAAAAAGAGAAGAAAAGCAAACGAAACCACCGATTCGCCCCGTACAGAGACCTCCTCTATTCAGCCACATTCCACCTTGGGATAGAGAAGGGCGCGTTGGACGAGTTTCACGAACCTAACTATAGTTGCTCCAATGCCAGTGACATTGGGACGAAGGTGTGAGTTGCAGGTCGGACGAGCTCTTGCGCCTTTGTCGCGCACTTTCAAGCGGCAAAAGGGCGCGACATCAACGCCTGCCTACTACCCCCGGATGGAACAGGCGAGCGCGCCTAATCCCGGAGCGTGAATTCAAGAAAGTTCCTCTTGTCCCTAATAGCCTTTATCCTTCTTTCGGGACACTTGGGCTGCAATCTGTGTTACCTGACCGAACACGCTCACTTTTCAATTTTGTCAAACAAGCTTCAGGTCTACTCAAGTGGTCCAGTTAAGACCGCCGTCACACTCGGGCGACGGACAAGCGCTTGTCCGTCGCCGAGTGTGACGGCGGTCTAAGGGATATTCATGAGAAGACAGAGCATCACCCTATCAATTTAATTGTTGGTGGTATCTCAAGTGAGGAGTGTTCGTCTTGTCCATGTTTCCCTAAATGCGCTATGGTTCCAACTCCCAATAGTATAGAAAAAGAATTTATAAGCGTTTCCTTCTCTCCTCTTTCTCTCTTTCTTTTCTTTTTCTCTTCTCTTTCTTCTCCACCACTGCTCCCTCCGTTTATTCTATTATCTCGCTCCAACTTGGCTTTAAACCACGATCTTTAAAGGATTTGTCGGCTATCGGCGTTTGACTGCGGTGGCATTTGACCGCGTTTCCTTCTGTCGCAGTGTCACCTCTGCTATTTCTGGGTAATATAAAAAAGGTAACAGCAACAAACGTGCTTGACATGATTAGCGATGTCGTCAAACATCATCACGATTATGTTCTCCTTTTTAACTCCATGGTCCACCAAAACATGATAGGCGTGAGCGACATCAGCCTGAATGTCTGCCAGATGTCAGAAGAAAAGTGATATAACCTCTGCTTTCGATTTATTTTATCCTTCTATTTTATAAAGCGCTAACTTTGTGTGTCGGTTTGTGTATCTGTATGTGTGTGTGCGTGTGTATGTATGTATGTGTGTCCGTCCGCAAAATGAAGTGAGTGAGAAGGAAGCTCATGGGATAAACAAACCGCTAACAAATCGGGTAGCTTACAGGATTTGAGATATCAATGTTTTGTAGCAGGATAGTTGTGATAACACTCTTAGGGCTATATAAACACCTGCTTAGCACACTTCCGTTCATTCCACATGGTGCTGCAGTGGCAGCTGGAGGGCAGTGGAGAGAGGAAGGGAGGATGAGGAAGGGAAGCGAAAAATCTACCGTCATATCATGATTGTGTCCCTTCTACTGTATGAAACACCATTGTGTTGCATACGCGTCACTTCCAGGAGGTGTTGGTGTCACAGGAGGAAGGGACCATAGCGGAGGATAGAAAGCTTGCGCAGGAAAGGAAGGTCCCGGCGGTTGACGGGGGACTAATCTGGTAAAGGATAAAGGATAAAGCATTTGCCGTTGATCAATCCCTTTTTGGATGCGGCACGCATTCTACTTCCATTTGTACATTCGTAGTGGCGTTTGAATGCGATGTGGCCTATACAATGACTTGCGGGGCCAGCCGATGTACAAGTCAGTGTTTTTATCCTCCCAGACAAGTCTGGTACCAATTAACCGACCCCGGAGGGATGGAAGGCTTGGTTGGCCCGGGCGACTCACGACCCAGGATTTGATCCAAAACCACTTGCCGCTACACCACTTCCGCCCATCCAAGCATGTAGAGCTATGATATATGTTTCCAAAATAAGTCAAAGAGAGGAAGGCTATTGAAATTCGTCGATTTGTTTTATTTGTCAACTGCTGGTTTTGGCCGCGTTCGCGTTGCGAAAGTCACAAGTAATACTGGAGTAACGGTACGCGTCCGGTAGGCGAGAGGTGCGAATTCGAGCCTCGCTTGGAGCAAAAGCTATGTTCATAACCCAGTATTCCTATGTGACCCATCGATTTCTTCTCAGCTCTACATGCTTCTAATTTTTCAACTCTCTGCTGCAGCTCGATTGCAAGTCATGTTTTGTCGGAAGAACTTTTCTTCTGGGCCAAGGATGCTCTCCTCATTGGTATACCCTCGCGCAAAACTTGGTTGCAGAGACTGGAGGATTGTTCAAAGGAGAATGCCACGGTAAGAGCGAAGGGCAAACTTACCTAGTGGAAGATATCCTAGCGAGACCCCCAGACGGTGGGGACCAAGCACGTATATCTCGGCATCGAAGGAAGGCCCCCGGTAGCCTTATTTAACATGGCCTCCCCTATGGCGCAACTGGCCCGAACGCCCACCGACTATCTGATCACTCGCCGCAGGTCTATACGTGGCGAGTGATTAGATAGCAGAGAGAGCGTAGCGTTGAAGAGGGCACAGCGATGAGAGTCGCATCAATGCGGAAATCAACGGGCAAGGAAGGGTCCCATTTCTCGGGTTTCGGGCCGTTTCACATGGTTTCTTCTTCATCCCTGCTCCACTGACCACCTCTACCCTTATTTCCAATGAAGTAACTTTTCACCGTAAAATTCGCCTTCAACAATGACTTACCGTGCACAGCAAAGCTCATATGAACCAAACGAAGCTGCAACTCTCCTTCACAAGTTTGACTATAGTATTCGTAGGATGGTTGGTGCCTATGAACCCTTCCTTAAACGCGCTGAACACCCCTTTTAGGCTGCAGAAAAGTATTGTAGTGTTCTGATCGTTTTGAACGCAAACTGTACAGAGCCAGAATTATCATGGTCAACCAGTGGGCACTTCAGCCTTTTATTCTTACAGGCTGTGCGTTACAAATTAATTATGCATAAGGGTAGGGTAGCCTCAGTTGGCCTTAGCGGG